GGCCAAGTTTGCTGCTGCTCCGAGAAAGAAAACGCGAAATGTTATATATTTTTGGGGCTGCAGCTGCGCGCGACGCCGAAATCGTGTGCATCATCGTGAAAGCAGCGAAACCATATTATTCGGCGCTCGGCTCTATATATTTTTCCTAAATCTACACGACACATGCGACTGTCCAAGTATAGAAATGCACACGTCGTTATATTCGCCTACACCTCTTGGTCACGATGCGGTGTATCAAGATCCAACCTTTGGATGAATATTTATCATGGATATCACGACGATGGCCTGAAAAGAGAAGGACGGCTGTTTTGGAGTCGACTGTATTAATATGAACATAATGTCAGTTAGATCGCGGCTAAAACTCATTCGTACCGGATGACACATCGTTAATCCAACTGATATTGTATGCGTTGTAAACAAAAAAAGCTACGCTCAATTACACCGCCAGCAGTTGATAAAATTAGAATCATCAATTTCATGGACATAGCGTAGTTTCTACTTCGAGAAACTCTCGAAACTACTCGGTCATTCATGCCCTCGTCATTCGGTAAAATAAGACGTTATACGCATCCAAAATGTTCAGAAGCGATAAATATTTCGTTTCGTACTTCTAATTACACCCAAAAAACAAATAAACCAATGAATTTTTATAAAAAAACATGAATTTGATGTGATTCCAAAAAGCTTTCGTACAATCGTCGACACGTCAAGTCGAGTTCTATCTTGTCGGCGTCTGTGTGACGTCACGTTTCATTTACCAGCACCGAACGCACTCGACCATCTTACGTCGCACGAATCTACACGATTCTGCGTAGTTCATGCCCGAAGACAGTTGCACTGTCTGCTGATCGCTCGTCTGCGATATTCTGCTGTGTAGCATCTCCAACGCGTGAGCGCAATTTACGTAAGACCTCGTTTCATTGTCGAATTTTTATTATTTCATCGTTTCGCGACAATCCTAGCATTGTTTTCAATCAAAATCCAAGTGCTCGTGATATTGTTCACGAAACACTCGATTGTTTCGAAAGTGATTTTCACTCGCTGAGTCGTTACCAGATCGATCACTGGCGCCTACTCCAACATAACGTAAGAGTCGCCCGTCTGACCGAGTTTGTTTTCGTTTTGCAGATAACTCACTCTCAACATGTCTGTCGGAACGACGGTGTACAACCTTTTGCTCAAGAGGAGCTCGACGTTCACGGTGACGATGCTCGCGAGTGCTTTCTTCTTCGAGAGAACCTTCGACATGATCTCCGAAGGTCTTTTCCGCAGTATCAACAAAGGAGTGAGTTTATCATGATGTTTGATACTTTTCTCATCCAATACCATGCTTGATCTTGTGTCATTGACAACTTTTTTTTTCATTTACAGAAACTGTGGGACGACATCAAGCATAAATACGAGCAGTAAAATGTGTATTGTTAAATATTATTTAGTTCAATTCAGATGCATGTGCTAAAGATGTAAAATAAACAAGTTAAATATCTTTTTTGGAAGGCTCGACATCTTTTCATACTGTTATCTTCCTTGATTCTAAGTGTTTATTGTAATTAAATGTTGGAAACGAATTAAACAACAAACATAAATTTATTATTTACATAAAAAATTACTTTACAAAAGTTATTGTCAGCTCGACATTTTTTCTTTAATGTCTTCGTCTATTGACTCTTGATCTGGAAAGTTACAGTGAAAACCAATTTTTACAATTTCTGCACTTCCTAAACATTCTTCTCCGGAATAAAACACTGCAAACTAAAAAAAAATTGTATTTTAGAATGTGAGCATTAAAAAGATGAATTTTAAAAACATGACAGTGATACCTGTCCTGGAGTTACAGCTCTTAGAGGTTTATAGAGTCTAATGGATAATTTATTATCTGAGGATTTATAAATTGTGCATGGCACTAATTCATGTGTGTGTTGAAACCTAAAGTCACAGTCAAAAACATTTGTGCTATTTTTCAGTTTTTTTGGTTCGCCATAAATCCAATGAATATTTTCTGCTATTAAAAATTCTGAATACAACATTGGATGTTTAGTGCCAGGAACCTAATACAAAAACGTCATAATGAAAAATATCCTTTGGTTTGAATATTACAAATGCACAATATCTTACCACATATATGTTATTATTCGAAATATTTTTGTGAAGGACAAAATATGAAACAGAAATTCCACCTATTCTACAACATTGACCCAAAGTCCATTGGTGTATTCCATTATGTTTACCAACTATTTCACCAGTTAAAATATCAATAAAATTTCCTGGTTTATTTTCTATGTACTGAAAGTTTGATTTAACTTTAAAATTTATGATAAAATATTAATTTTAAACTACAATGAAGTATTTACCTCATCTATAAATTTTTGGAAATTCCTGCGACCTATGAAGCATATTCCCATACTTTCTTTTTTATTTACAACTATATCTAAATTTGCCTCTTTAGCAATTTGTTTGACTTCTTGTTTAAAATAATCTCCCAATGGGAACATTGTTCTCTGCAGGGCCAACTGTGGTATTTGAGATAAGAAAAATGTCTGATCTTTAAAGGAGTCTTTTGCTTTCAGCAATCGTGCATCTAAAAAATGTCATTGTAATTAGTTTTAATTTCAAAAGAATATGCAATAAACTTACTTTCATTAGCTTTGAAAGATTCAAGATATGGACCAAAACTACTCCGTGCGTAATGACCTGTAGCAATGGCATCTGCTCTTAATTCACTCCGAGCAAAGTTAAAAAATTTGTTAAACTTAATTTTTTTATTGCACTGAATATCTGGATTTGGTGTATTTCCTTTCTCATAATTCTTAATTAAATTACTGCAAAAATAAATTATTTTGAGCTTATTTTAAATAAAATTTTCCTTAACATATTAAAAAATACTTACTCAAATACATCATTCCAATATTCTTTGACAAAATTAACATCCACAAGTGGTATTTTAAGCTTATTACATATCCATTTGGCATCTTCTAGATCTTTATCGGCTTGACACTCTCCTAATTCATTAGCAATGTCCCAATTTTTCATAAAAACTGCTGTCACCTCAAAACCTAAATTATAAATTTCATAATTTTATCATGACTAATAAAAGAAGAAAAAAAATATCTCAGATATTTAAAAAGTGTAGAAAAATTTAACATTTATCACCTTTGGACTTGAGAAGCAATGCTGTGACAGCACTGTCAACTCCTCCGGAAATTCCAACAACCACTTTTTTAAACATAATTATTATCTCTTCAACAGTTTCTCATCTATGGTGATCCATTCACTGTAACATGATGCAATTGCATTTACACAACTTTATATCACAGAAATAGTTAAGTTAACAGGAGACAATTATTTTTAATCAAACGATATCAAACTTATATTATGCAGTTTGTAATTTTTGAACTACCTGCCACTGACAGTTGTCACAAGCTCGAGTGCCACAATTTTCCGTACAAATCGCACGTGTCACAAATGCTCACGATGAAGCGAGTCCGGCGAGTGCATGTGTACTGTGACAAGATGAGCATTTAATAAACATCGTCTGCTAGTTGTGCGTCAATTCGTGTAATTCTAATTCTCAAAAATTCAATTTTTCATTCAAATTACGAATAGAATCACTTGAGACCCAAATATTAATGGTAAAGTAAAAAATTATAAGTCAATGTAACATTGATTACTTTTTTTTAAATAAATTCTTCCATTTATTGCATAGTTTAAAACATTTTTAACGATATAATTAAATATTTTATAACGACGACGCGTTAATCGTCATAATCTTTCTACATGAATATTCAGTAACTGGGAAACCGACGAAAAGCGGCAAAATATTTAAAATAATCAGCCGTGTGCGGCACATGGGTAAACTTGCAGTAAGCTTTCGCGAATACCTGCCGACAAGTTGGTAACTCTCGGCAGGAAAATCTGCAGCACGGCGTACATACTTACTACGTGTATATAGTTCGTTGGATAGAGAGAGAAAAAGAGACAGACTGTACGAGGAAAAGAGAGAGAGAGTGCGAGAGAGAGAGAGAGAGAGAGAAAGGAGACACGCAGACGAGCCGCATATAATTGTAAAATGGCAAAAGTATAAACTTCTGTCAAAAAATCGCACGTCGGAGGTTATGCTTATTAATTGAATCCCGGCCTGGTGCACTGCCACATAATAAATTCGGCGAGATATTATGACATCTGCACGTTGTACGCTTTCTCGAGATTTATAGCGCGACGTGGCCGCGGTATAATCGCGTTTATAAAGATTACGCGTTCGTGCAATATTACTCATGGTACACGTATTTGTAATCAGTTGAGAATTTTTCACTATCGAGGGAAACATATTTTCTAAAGTGCCGAAGGTAAATATTGTTTACCTCCACTGCGAGCAGTCTCTCTGCAGGCTGCTTGTTTCTCAATAATTTTATAATACCTCGTTCTTGAATCTGTGTTTTGCGTTGTGAATTTTTAGAACTCGACAAGTTTGACGATAAAGTCATGGGTGCATCACCGAGCAAAGTCGAGGATCTCTCGAAAAATACATATCTCGAAAGGTTCTGCAGCAAAGAGCCTATACCGCTGGAGGATGACTTTTGGAATCATTTGCTGTCGTACAATATAAGACCGCCACTGACTAGAAATGATCAAATCGAGCTTGATTCTAGATTGGATTTGTGCTGTCAACAGTTGTTAGTGAACAATCAAATAACGGGGAATATTGGCACACTCATTCAAGTGACGCTTATCAAAATAACTGAACTTCTTCGCAAGCCTGACCAAGAAAAGTAAACAATTGAGCTTTCTTTATGAAATACTTTATTTAAAAAGTTTCATGACACATGTTTATTTTTGTAGTATCGTACCTGCTTGGCAAACCTTCAATTCACTTTTTGCTGTAAGATGTATTTTAAAGTATCTTATAGAAACAGTTGGAGAAGAGGAAATGGTCAGACATACAGAAGCTCAAATTTCTGTGGAAGAATCAAATAGCTTATTACCAGTAAGATTACAATCATTCATTGAGGCTCTAGTTGGAATTATGGTGGATGTACCACTGTGGTAATTATCTATCAAATCTGCATACTATGATTTGAACTAGCAATTATTATACTTCAAATAAATTTTCAGTGAATTTACATATATCGTTCATCTAGAAGCTATAAATTGCCTATTAGTATTGTTATCTGTTCAACTATTTTCTCAAACTCCTGCAGAATATAGTACAGTTTATAGAATTGTTATGAATGAAGAATTGCGTGCTCATGCACCAGTGTTGGTTTGCACTTTGCTAAATAATTTTGCCGAACAGACCCAAGCACCTCCAGGTATACTTGCTCCACATCCTGGTTCCAGTATTGTTTTCAGTATTGCTGGTACGTTTTTGCATACATTCATTACATTCATAAGAAAAAACGAAATGAAATAATTTCAAAATTTATTTCAGCTGGACTCTGGAATGTAATCACTTTTGGAATCAGTAGTACTAAGAATGTTTCAGTATCACATGGTGGTAATATGGAAGAAATTGAAAAGAAACGAGATACTGATACTCCATTAGCTAGTCAGTCCCTATTATTGCTGTTGGTCTTGACAAATCATTGCACGCAGCATTCTTTACACAATTCATACAGGGAGGCGCTCTTCACATTTACAAATGTTACAGGTACAAAGATAATATGGTAATATAATAAATATGTGTGAATAGGACACAGTAATAATAACATTTTTTATTCATCAGAAAACTGTCAAACATCTTGTGAAGGACCATGTGCTTTTAAATTTAATGTAGAAAAATTGTATAGGACAATATGTAAAGTACCTAATACAGATGAAATTACACTCCTTCTGTACATGCTGCTTCACAGAAACTCTAATGTTAAACAATTCATAATGAAAAGGCTGGATTTGCAATCTCTGGTATGAACTATTTCATTACATTTTTTATTATTTATTAACCTTATTTCATTTCATAATTATAAATTTTAAATTCTCAGATAGTACCTATTCTGAAGATACTTTATAATGCTCCAGATAATACTTCCCATCATATTTATATGTCTCTAATTATTTTATTAATCTTGAGTGAAGATGAATCATTTAATAAGAGTGTTCATGATACAGTGAGTATCTTGTTTTTATGTGGAGATTAACTATGATGAAAATTAATTATATATTATATATCTTATAAATGTGAAATTTTTAAGGTATTGAAAGGTGTAACCTGGTACACTGAACGATCAATCAGTGAAATATCTCTTGGAGGTCTACTGATTCTTGTTGTTATTAGAACCATTCAATACAACATGTTAAAAATGAGGGATAGATATTTGCATACAAATTGTTTAGCAGCTCTGGCAAACATGTCAAGTCAATTTAGATCATTACATCCCTATGTAAGTCAGAGATTAATAAGCTTATTTGAAACATTGGCCAAAAAACATGCTAAACTGGAAGCAACTGTTAGAGCTCAATCTTCTTCAACTGAAGTGGCAATAAATATTAATAACGGAAATGCAAACACTGATTTGGTAAGTACTGAAAATTACATGAACAAAACCCAATGATTTTAAATTTATAACAATATTTCAGATTCAAGATTTAACAGTATTAGAGGAAGTTTTAAGGATGGTTTTAGAAATTATCAATAGTACTTTAACCCATCAGCTAGCGCATAATCAAAATTTAATTTACACATTACTTTATAAAAAAGATGTTTTCCAACCATTTAGAACTCATTCTTCATTCCAAGATATCATTCAGAATGTAGATTCGGTAAATACAATTTTAAGTTTGAATTAATGATATTTCGACTTTGACACTAAACTTTACCTATATTTTAGGTAATAAGCTTTTTTTCTGTTAAACTGGAGGAAAAAGAGCATACTCAAATTGGAGTGACCGATGTATTAGAAACAATTAAACAAGGCACTAGTCAATGGCCACGAGATCGTTTGAGGGTATGATACTTTTACTTAAAAAATTTTATCTCTGAAACAAACAATAAATAATCCAACAAAATTACGTTTCAGAAATTCCCGGAACTCAAGTTCAAATACGTAGAAGAAGAGCAACCAGAAGAATTTTTCATTCCTTACGTTTGGAGTGTGGTGTATCAAAGTGCATTGCTTCACTGGAGCGCCGAAAATATAAAATTATTTTTACCAAGCCAGGGAGAACAGACAACCGTCATCGTTTGCTGATACGACGACAACGTCGACGACACATGATATTGCATTATTTGTTAAGACTAATACAACAAAAACTACTTTGTTAACGCGATTATGACACTGCGGAAATCTTTCTCGCACTAAAACGTTTATAGCTACGGTGTAAATTTTATCAAAGGCGCTAATGAAACGGAGCGCTTTATATAAATTGATTACTCTTCGCCAGTGCCAACTGCAACAGATCTGTTAAACGAAGAATGCTACCAAATTACGTTGAGGTACGCGGCGCCATTCAACCAAACGTATCCCGCTATCGATTTCGTTGCAATAATGAACTTAGCATAGTTACTGCTAATCGTAAATGGGCTACGAATTCAGGAGAGCAGATATAGCTTTTAATAATCAATCAGCTTTGATTAGTGTAAATAATTTTTCATAAATTATGCCAATACTATACTAAGTATGAATACAAATCTGAATCATTTTTTATATAAAAATGTATATAACTAAACTGTTTCCACTGTGAATAGAATAAAGATAAAATAAAATTATGTATATAAAAAATTTAATTCGTGTTCAACGACACCTTCTCTTTTGCGCAAATCGGCGAATGATTAGGGTAAAAATAAAAACCAAGAAATAGCTTATTTTTCGGATTTATACCTTTATTAAACAAATACACTTGACATCGTAGCATTATTTATATTTTTATACGTATATATACTTTTTTTAGATGAATGTCATTAAGATATAATTATTTTAATTATATATTCCTATCTTCTTATGTGCATAGGGCAAACGTCATTTTTTTTTCTTAATTATTTACCGAACAAATAATGATGTTCACATATCTCTTTTCGAGGAAGCCTCGGAAATACAAATGAAAAATTAAAATATATTGCTGTTAGAATTTACTCTTGAGTATAAACCAAATTACATCTCCATAAGAATATATATGCTGTAAATTTGTTACTTTTTTTTTCAATCTGATATACTCTAGGAAATAAGCTTTATTTTTTGCAAAAGAATAGTCTCAGTTTTTCACATATGTTTATACAATATTTAATACTGAGAACTATACAAATACGCATACTATATAATGTCATTTTTTTAAGCGTAAAATCGGGCTTATATGAATGCGTGAATCGCATATATATATTTATTTATTTATCTATTTTTTTCATTCCTTATTTATCACTTCTAATTAACATAAAAGTTTTTTTGCCTTCTTTTTTTTTACAAAAGTGTGTTGTTAAAGAGGGGGGAGAATTTAGCCTTTCATTT